AAAACTAATTTTATTGCATGTCATATATTTAATTCTGGAATTACACTGAGATTGGAGACATCTGGACCAAAGTTAACTGTAATGCAAAAGGTAAGAAAGATTGCAGGCTGATTATGAAGGATCAGGAATGAACTGTTAATTTATTTACCTTTGTAATTCCATCTAAACTAAAAAGTCACATTACTGAAAAGAAATTCACTTGAACAGCAGGAAAGCTCTTGAACCCAAGATCTAAACTTCTTTCAAATGCTCAAAGCAATCTTTATTAAGCTATAATTATTTCCTAAAATTCTGAAAATATTCTACTTTACATAGCTTAAGTGACTGGTAAATCAACATCCCACACACCACTTAAACCAAGTTGACATGTCACAAAAATTCTTGACCATAAGTTAAAAATCAAATACATTATGACAAACTGAGTTTTTCTACAGGATTTAGTAATACTGTAAGAAACCTTCTCACTTCTTTTGTGAAAGGGTTAAAATAATTTCAGATGTATTACCTCTTGTCAAATAAAGTCCATAATTACTTCCATTAACAAATTTACAGTACAGTGTGCATTTTCCCAAATGACTCAAGAGTTCATCTTAAACTGATCTAAAGAGAAGAAAAAAAAATCATTGGTCTCAGTAATTCTTCAAAACCAACAAACTGAAAGACTCATTTAAATCTACAACAATAACCTGCCAGATAAAAGGTAACAACACACAATACCTGAAGAGGACATTTTCCTTTTCTACCATCACTATATTATTTAGTTCAATATCTGAATAGAGGAAAAAAAGGTGACAAACTGTTGCATACCTGTGGAACTTTTGTAGAACTGCCTATTTGCACTGCTAAGAATAGCCTCGAGTGGCCAGCCTTCACCTTTGAAGAATGCTATGTCTTGCAGTAGTTTCATTTTTCAGATATTAATAATGCAGCAAAAGTAATATGGAAAGAGGTGGCTTCTTATTGCTCATAAGTAAAACAGAAGTAGCACATTAAGAAATGACACAAAATTTTTATGTGCACCAGGTCTCCTTGTTACATACTACCACACAATTTATTTCTCAAAACTTTCAACTGCGTGATACTCTCTTGTATATTTGCACTGCATATTTTGTGCACTGTTTGAACAACAAAGGAATATAAGAACTAGAATACTGGAGACCTCAATCAAGATTCTGTTGGATAACATCACAAGATGAGTTACTTCATATTTAAAAAAAAAAAAAAAAAAAAAAAGCAAAAACTAACAAACCAACCAACCTACTGTAATGTACTTTGTACACAGGGAACTCTTTGTCCTTGTAGCTATTCCAGAAAAAGAGATTTATAGTGGATTCCCTCTCAGAAATATAATGTGCTTAACAACTGCAGAGCAAGAGCACCACTCAGTGGAATTATCAGATAAAACAATACTTGTAAAAGTCAAAGTTATACATTCGTACTATAGCAGTAAAAAGAGTTCGAGGTAATTCTAAGACAAAAAACCTTCTCCAAAAAATTTTGGGTGAAAATAATTCTAGCTTAGTTCATACTACAGAGACTATAACTTAAAATTCTATCCTTAATATCACTTATTTGCTGGCTCACTTTTCCACATAAAATTACTATGTTTTCATTACTATCGTATTCTTTTCTAAAAATACAAATTATCATTCCAAAAATGAAGACATATGACAATAAAGAAAACATCTCTAAAATTTGGAACCTGGTATTTTTTTATTTAATTCACAAATATTTATGTAAAGTTACATAATGTGGAAAACAACTGCATGACCAGGTGCTGTCATATTATGACAGTTATTTCTTATGCATAATGACAAGAATAGAAGTCTCTTTCTCTCCTTATGAAAAGACAGAAAAGATGCATACAAGCTGTTGACAGCTAAATTACTTCAGGACAGACTGTGCTAGCTGTGGAACTTCATATATTGGAAAAGAAAGCCAGAAATTTTGTAATGATGCATTTTGTACTCATCTGTATACACTGTGAAGCTTGCCAGATTGCAAATACAGTAACTAAGCCTAATAGTCCCCTCTTCTGTTAATATATACCTTGATCTCTGATGAAAGAGGGAGAGGTGGATGAAGCAGCCACAGCTAAAGGTGTATAAAGGACCCATGTTCAGGAATCCTAGAGGGCTGCATCTGTCACTATCTTGTTTAAAATTGGTCATTCCGATACATAGTTTTTCAGTATTACTTTATTACAAAAGCACCAATTTAATTCCATCATTTAGTCTTTGGAATCACAAGCATTTCTAGAATAAGCACCATTTTTCTCTCTGGGTAAAAAACCTGAGACCTGTTTGTATCAGATCTTAAAGTGTTACTTAGCCTCACCAGCTCCTATTCACAAATTAAATGCAAACAGGAGCTGAGTGCAGCTGCCCAAGGGGATGTGGCAACATTTCCTTTAGGACAAGAGGTCATGGCTGCTGCCATCAACAATTCTAGGACATGCTGGCAGGAGTCTCTCTTGATACTCAAGAAGTTAAGAACCAAATGCTATATCTAAACCTATTATTATTATTATTTTTATTATTATTATTAACTAAAAATTTAGTTGTTTCACTGATTTTCTTCCATTTCTGCTGAAATTAAACTCTTGCCCAAATCCTCCTTTGAACTTCAGCTTCATGTTGTTATTTGGAAACCCCAGGGCAGGCAATCAAAAAGCTCAATGACAGAAGCAGAATAGCAAGCAAAACATCATTGATAGGATAAACTCAAGATAATTCCTCCTTAAATTTAGTCTGCTAAATTTGACATAACTAAAAGTAAGCAACAATACATACCGACAGCCTAACTGATTCTACACCTCTTATGACAGCAGCAACTAAGGACACTGAATGAAGAATAGACTCAGACACAAGGTAAAAGCACCCTGATTTGCTCATTCTGCAGGCAGCATCAAAACAGTAGACCACTGGACATTGAGTTATCCACTATTTCAGCAATTTAAAGTGAGGGAAATGAGAAAGGAATAATTAATAAGTAAAAACTACAAGAGAAAGGAAGCAGTAGAGATGAGATTCTTTTTTAAATAAAGCCAGCTAATACTGAAGTTAAAAGATTTTTTTTGTATTAACTGGAAAAGAACGAATATATTTCCTTACAGAGTTGAATGTATTGTATCCCCAAATTAAGAAACAATACAAATACAGGTTTCTAAACCTAAATGAAAAATTAAACCTCTACTCTTCACAATTGCTTCGTACATTCACAAGTTTAACACATTTTAAGACTTAAGATGTCAGATGGACATCAGCAATGTGTCTTTAAAATATCAGCTACATTTCCAGCTGCATAAAATGCCAGCAGAGAATGCAAGATATCCCTACCTCCATATATACCACATATAAATGACTTCCAATTTTTCGTTTCCCAAGAAAAGCTTAATACACAAACATTTGAACATTTTGATTTTCACTGTTTACAACTGAAACCGGAAAGCTTTTTAAAATCGGTAATTAGGGAGTTTTGCAGTAAGGCCTGTAGCAAGCTCAGCCAAAGTGTTTCCAAGGGTACTGACTCTGGATGTTATTTTTTTTCATAGCAGTCTGTACAGCACTGTGTTTTAGATCTATGCCTAAAAGAGTGTTGATACCACACGAATACCAGCAGGGTTTGCACAGCATCAAGGCCTTCTCTGTCACTCTGCACCCCTAGCAAATAGGCTGAGGATGTGCAAGATGTTGGGAGGAGACACAGCTGGGACATCACTTTGGTTAATTTTTTGTCTGGAGGAGTGCTGATAAAGACACTAGCCTCGAGTTTAACCTGGTATTTGGGCCCTGAGTTACTGCAGTCCCTTTAGGTGTGTACCCATTCCAGCACAGCCTTACCCACTGGCCACAGTTCCTGTCATGAAACATACAACTGCTCTGGTGTGGGGTCCTCCACGGGCTACAAGTGTGGCCTCATGTGCTGACCACTGTCTTCAGAGTGAGGGTCTAGGGCAGATGGGAGTGAGTCACGGAGAACAACTTCACTTTGGATTGTAGTAGGGTTTCTGTGCATCTTAGTTAACCATGCCTATCGAAAAATGTACACTTGTAATAAACATTTAAAAGTTGTAAAGCAATCAGAGAGAAAGTCATCCAGTCAGGGTTTATTTGAATTTTTACCTTAATACGCCAATTATTTTATAGCATAAAATGCTGGACAATTTGAGGATTGAAGAGATACTTTCTAAGAACAGAGTTATTACTGTCATATCTCTATGACTCTCAAAAGCTAAAATTAGTAAAGTGTAAATCCCAGTATGTTTCTCCTTTAACCCAGTCATGCATCAATGAAAACCCAGTCACACATCAATGAACATTTGTGAACTACATGATCCTCATGAAACTGTACTTAAACATACACTTCGCTACAATTCTAATTTACAATTTGGGTCCTGATGATCACTAATTCAAGTTAGTGCAACGTTTCATACAAATAAACAAGCCAACATCTAAAGTTTGTGATGTTTAGACTTTTACCAGAGGCACCTCAAATGTTCTCTCCCCACGTTCCCCTCTCACTGAGGGCTGCTGCACACTCACAGTGAATTTCTGATGTCAGTTTGCTACAGTACTGGGCCTGTGCTGACACATAGACTGTCCACGCTTATGTGACAAGGGAGTAATACTGACAGTCCATAAAGTTCTCAGGGAGGATGGATCCCACTGTCCTTAGTTGGAAAGTTGTCCCTGTTTCTACCTAACAGACAGCAAACCCCTGCAGATGCTAGTCCTACCAACATGACAGCAGGATTAATGACCTTATTCTTCCATGGTTTTGCTTTTCTAAACTGGAAATATATCCATATCTGGCATAACAGAAAACCCAAAATAAACAATGAGGAGTGCATTTAACAAAAAAAGCAGATATGCAATACATTCATACAGTTTCCTCTAATTACACTAAATTTCTAGGACACAGATCAGTTCTTTGAGAAACATTTAAATGTTCAGCGCTTAAACACTACAGAATCTGCTTTGGTTACCATAATGCATTACCTGGTAAATTAGTCTTCATAATATCAATGCCAACTTGAAGCTCAGGCTCAGCTGCAAGAACCGCATAATCTCCTTGATGAGAGACATTGAAGTTGTAATTTGAATAGATACTGAATACGTTATTTGCCAGGAAAGGTTTTCCTTTTGATGTTCTTTGCAAGTTTATTTCATTCCAAGGTATGCACAACTTCTCTGCAATTAACTTCCGTATCAGCAGGCGACCAGCCTATGAAATAAAATGGAGGTGATTCATACATAACTATTATGCTATGTGAAAATACCTATGCTTGCTAGAAAACCACCTGCCAAAAAAAAATGTAGCTTTATTACTGCCAATATAGAGTATACTTAACTCAGATTTCTCCCTTTTATAAAAGCCTGTGTCAAGTAAATTTAACAAAAAGTTCACTAGACCTGAGTATAGAACACTTATCAGTATTATCACAGAGACAACCCAGTAGAGACCCAGTAAAAAGCAGTCCCAGCCTGAAAGAATCACATAAAAATAGTTTCTTCTCTACTTTATTTACTCACTTATGATACTTTATTGCACGGATGAGTACTTTTTATACCACACTGAACAGTAAAAATGTCTCAAGAGCTTTCCTTTCAGTACATTCATTCTGTTACTTAGGCGTTAAATGAAATACTGAACAGCTAAAAATGATGAGTAACTTCTTATAGACTAATTAGCAGGTCTGTTATTACTATCTCATCGTTATGTGAGATTTAAAACCTGAATTATGTAAAGCAGCTTTACTCCCTTACACATTACACTGTTTTCATGTATAGCCTCCTAGAGAACGCTGATTTTGTCTCCTAACTTGAAATGATGACATAAAGTTTGTCAAGTCTTTCAGAATAAGCACGAATAGTAGAGGGCAAACATCCATTTTTTCCTCCTAAGTGAAGGCGTAAGTAGAGATAGCAATTAATACTTGGTAACGCATTTTCTTCCCTGAAACGCCCTTGCAGAGCAGATTTTCGTACGTCAGGAATTTGGGCAACAGTGAATCTGCAGAGAGACAATCGCGTCCCCAGGGGAAAGGGCCGGTCCCGGGGCTCCAAGCGGTGCCCGCGGCGGCTCCTCCGCAGAGCGG